GACGAAATAATTTTGTCACGTTTAATATAAACGTAAACGAAAATTTTTTGTCAAAAAAGCTACCAATAGAGACAAAAACAAATTCATCATTAAAAATGATAAATTTGTAACGAATTTTTTTGCCTCCAATACACTCTGTTGAGAACATACTTGTAAGTAATTAGCAACAAAATATTTTGTCATTAAAGGAAGAAATTAGAAACAAAAGTATTTTGTCATAAATATAAGAAATAGAGACGAAATAATTTTGTCACGTTTAATACAAACGAAGACGAAATTTTTTTTTCAAAGAAGCTACCAATAGATACAAAAACAAATTCATCATTAAAAATGATGAAATAATGTCAAAAAAAATTCGTCACACATTGAGGGTAATAATGACAAAATGTGACAATATTTTTTGTTATGACAAATTCATTTAGTGACGAAATAAATAATTCATGACAAAATTAATCATCCACCTAAGCAAAATAAGAGACAAAACACTACTACAAAAACAGATAAAGATCACACTTTTTTTGTGTGATGTATATTATTTAATCACACCTTTTAAGTTTTATTAAAGTGTGATATTTGGGAGTGTGATTAAAAGGGGTCATTTTTAATCACACTTTTTAAGTGTGCTTAATAACATTTAGATCACACTTTTTAAATGTGATTAAAAATATTTAGATCACACCTTTTAAGTGTGATTAAAAATATTTTGATCACATCTTTTAAGTGTGATTAAAAATATTTAGATCACACCTTTTAAGTGCAATTAAAAATATTTAGATCACTTTTAAAGTGTGATCTTTGGAAGTGTGATTAAAAATGGTCATTTTTTATCACACTTTTTAAGTGTGGTTAATAACATTTAGATCACACCTTTTAAGTGTGATTAATAACATTTACATCACATCTTTTTAAGTGTGATTGATAACTAATAAAATCTGTGATAAAAAAAGAATTCGACATATTTGAAAAATAATTAATATTATTTTTGTATGCACATTTGAAGAATGTAATACACACTATATACTATATTTTGAATAATAACCACATATTGAATAGAATAACGTCATATATTTTATAAATGAAAATTAAATATTCAAAAGTATATACAAAAGAATTAAATAAAAAAAAATTAACTGTGCTTACATATATTAAAAAATGAAAAAACTTAAAAAACTAAGTTCTTTAATTCTTGGACCATATTTTGCATCTCCAAAAAATTTCTGACCTGAAAAATAAAAACACAAATTAATCCAGAAACCGCTGATGCATATGAATAAACTAAAAAGTTAATTCAACAAACCAAAATAGGAACATTAATCATTTCTGCTTGATATTAATCCTTTTGGAAGTAACTTCCCTGTTAACAATTAGATGCCATAGCAGCTCAGTGTCAATGACATTGCAATTAGGTCACTAATGAGCACAGTATTTAAAAATGATAAATCTCAATACAGCTTGTGTACGATCTTTTTGTATATGTATATTATTATTACTGTTGAACCATAATTCTAGGTACCCATAAATAAATAAATAAAAACTCAAGAATTTACTCCATTTTTTTTGAGGGAGGGAGTACATACATTGCAGTTATTATCACCAGCAACAGGAGGTTTTGGAGATGCAGAGGCTGTATTTTCTTTTGCACCTTTGGAGGAAAAAGAAGAGAACAGTTACCCATTTCATGCATGTTTGTCTACGAATTGAGTTCCAACCAAACCAGAAAATTTGACATATATGTTAGATGGAAATCTGAAAAAGTCAAATGAAGGCAGATTCTAGGGAGTTCAACTAGTAATTTTAACCAAACTTCAACAACTCATATGAACAAATTCACAAGCATAATAAAGTAAATAATACCCTATTGGAAATCATGACAAGTTTCTTAGCAACCGAGAAAAGAGCGAGTAACCATACAAAAATTTTGTTAAAAACACTATTAATAAAACATGAAGAAACGAGCAATGAACTAAATCATGATTTTTTCCCCTTAAAAATTATACCATAAGATTTCCATACCTTTCGTATCTCTATGCAAAAGGAAGCCGTTATAATCAAGCATAGTCACTAACATCATTAGCCTGGTGCATCACACACTTTCGCTTCATCAGGATTCATAAATTTGCCAACTCATATGTAGTTGTTTGGGCTAAAATTCAAAGCTTTTGCTTGGAAGTTCATGCTGGACATATCACACTTCTATAGCCATAGCCGCTCCAGGAGAGCTTGTCTCTCCAGTAACGGAAACTCAACATGAAGGGAGAAAACTAGAACCTTTCCCCACTCCAACAACCCCAAACCTTCTTATAGAGCTAATGGGTGGCCAATTTGTATGACATCAATAGACCAATGTGACGAGGAACATGAAGACATTGGATGAGCATAAATTGAAGATTATGGATTTACTTTAGTATTATTTTCTTATATATGATTTATTGGGTTTCATTTATTAAATTAGGATTTTCATATTGTAAATCCTATCGTAATGAGTATTTTTAGAAACTTCAATTAAGGTTTCGTAGGATGCCTATAAATAGGCTTCTATGTAATGAATTTGTCATACTTGAATTGATATTGAAGAATAAGATTGAGCTTGGAGAATTGCTATTGTTCAAATACCATGCGATAAGCTCATTAACAAAGGGCACAACCAAAGGTTTGAAAAAGAAAATATATTACCAATGGAGGTTGGTTTAAGTGGAAAGGGAGTTAAGTCGCTTAAGCAAAGGTCTTGAGTTCGAGCCTTTGTGGATGCAGCAAACTCTCTTGGGAGAGGACCCCGCATATGCGCCCAACAGCTTCATGATTAGTCCTGGATCTAAAAAACTTGAGAATACCGTGAGAGACCTAAAAAGAAAAAAAAAATATTATACATGAAATTTTAGTCAAAAATCATATGAAAAAATCAACAATTATTTTCCTTCTCTTTATTTTTTGTATGACTTTCGTAAAAAATTAAAAAAAAATATTTCTGAATACTTTTTATGCTTTCACTTCACATTTTAATTAAGAAAAAAAAGAAAACCAAAAAGATAGTAAGAAAATAAAAGAAAATTATTAAATATTTTCAGAGTACCATGTGTCTGTATTCTCTAATCTCTCATCATTCAATATATCCTTTCATATTCCTCAATCATTGAACACAATATCTTACTTAACTTCTTCTCCAATCATAATATTATAAAATATTAAGTGTCCATACTTTAAAATTATTAAATAATTATCCCCAAATAAATTCCCAAATGAACTCTGGATGACATCATGGCGAAGAAGGATACATACACTGCTGCATCCAAATTCATCTTACTTTACCTTTTGGTTTTTTTTTGGTACATCGGAAAAGGATCGCACTTTACCTTCTCTCTCTCTCTCTCACTCTCTCTCTCACACACACACATCAAATGACAGTTTTATTCTCATAATAATTTTCCCTGAGTAGATATAAATTGCCAAAGTCAAGATTTCCTAAAGAATTTAGAAGGGTAATTTAGTCCATTCACAATAATTAACAAAAAGCAATTTTCCAATAATTATTTTCTACCATCTAATGTGTCATCTAACTGTTGGCACTGCATCGAAAATACAAAAAAATGTTTAGAAAATTTAATTTATTACTTTTAAAAATCACCTCCTAATGATGTGTCTGACAAATGTTAAATTTTAATTTGTCAAACATTCAATCATGTGGAGTTTGACCTCAGTGGTACATTATTATCAATTTAAGAGATGTAACATTGTTAAAAAATACATTATGTAGTGAGACCTATTATACTAATAATGGTTGACAAGGAAAATGATAAACATAATATAATATAAAATTTTGATAAGTATAACATTATTATTTAAATAAAAAAAAAACCATATTGTGTATTTCTCATTGTGGGCACAAATATTCTTCTCTCTTGTTAAACAAAAAGAATGAGGAGACCCTTGAAGGTTTTGATGGTTAACCAGTTGATCATTATGTAAGGTCACAAACCTCAAAAACAGCAGTGACCCTTAATCCAAGTTTAATACCCAAGCTTGTTTTTTCTACACTTCTCTTCATTCCCTAAATAAGTAAATGGTATTCTTGATTCTTTTATTGCTTATAAATGCACAAAAAATCTAGTTGCATTTATTGATGGGTAATCATTCAAATTTAGATGTTTTAATCAATTGATCAAACTCTTACATCTCACCAAGCCCCGTCTGTCTCCATACTGTTTGGATCACTGTATAGACTGTTAACTGCTAACCGTACTGTTATCAAGGGATTAGGTCCCTGTACTGTGTGACTGTAAATTTTGTATAGACTGTATTGTTCATATATGTGAATGCATGAAAAATCTTTTTGGCATACAGACTGTCACAGCTCAATGGACACTATTTATTTACTGTAATGGCTTCCGCCAGGCCCTGTACTCTGTTTTACTGTACTACTGGTCTGCAGGCCTTCGGTAATCTCGGATTACTGGCCGGTTACGGTACTAAACCCATAGGGCCGGGTTTGGGTCGTGACAACATATCACACTTCTGTAGCCATAGCCCCTCCAGGAGAGCTTGTCTCTCCAGTAACGGAAACTCAACATGAAGGGAGAAAACTAGAACCTTTCCCCACTCCAATAACCCCAAACCTTCTTATAGAGCTAATGGGTGGCCAATTTGTATGACATCAATAGACCAATGTGACGAGGAACATGAAGACATTGGATGAGCATAAATTGAAGATTATGGATTTACTTTAGTATTATTTTCTTATATATGATTTATTGGGTTTCATTTATTAAATTAGGATTTTCATATTGTAAATCCTATCGTAATGAGTATTTTTAGAAACTTCAATTAAGGTTTCGTAGGATGCCTATAAATAGGCTTCTATGTAATGAATTTGTCATACTTGAATTGATATTGAAGAATAAGATTGAGCTTGGAGAATTGCTATTGTTCAGTTTCGTTATTTTCTTTTCTTTTTCTTTTGGTTTCAATTTTCTCTTCCATCCAGCATCACAATATTAGCAAAAATCAGGAAATACTCAGGGAATATATGAATTAATGATTACCGAATACACATCACAAGTTAGGATAATTCACTAGCTCCCATGCAAATTTGTAGAAAATTTTTAAAAATTGCCAAACATATGTTCCATTAGGCTACCTGCAAGAACTGGCACCAGTGATCAACCAATGGCCACTGCTTTTCTTCAAAAAGCAACTGCCACATCCCGATTGCAGTATCCAATGCCAAAGATTTTTGACCCTGCGATTGACAAAGAAAATCAACAACTGCAGAGTATTCCACATATCCCAAAGTTGCAAAATATGAAATATCTATTTGACATCACCAGAAAAAGCATCCATTTCCAATTGCTCTTCGGAGAACCGATTATGATTTTCATTTGCAAACAGAAAGAAGAAACTAATTGCAGTCATGTCCTTTGAGGACCTAATCTGATGAGTTTGGGGGGGGGAGGGGGATAGCCCACCAATCCATGCATTTGACGCTTTACATTACAGTAAAAAACACTGTCAATTATGTGATTAGACTAAGCTAAAATTGCAAAACAAAATTACTTCAACTCATGGATTTAATCCTCTAGTGCTGCGTCCCATGCTTCTCCCACATTATAACTAAAGACCTCAACTGTTTTTTTAGAGGTTTCTACTTCTAGGTAGAAGTTAAAATGTGTTTTTCCACAAAGGTTTTAAACATTTGACCAACTCTGAAGCAGCTAGTGGGGAACACCGACGATCTGGACCATACAAAAACAAAACTGAAACCACTTCCAACAGACTTGTAAGCAAAACAATGACTGGACAATATGACTGTGTTTGGGTTGTCATAAAATAAAAATGTTTTTCTAATTAAACCCATACCCTGATCAACTCTGAAGCTACCCAGTAATTTTTATTCTCAATCCTGTGCTTTATATATGGGGTCATGCTATGGGCTGTCATTAAGGTGAAGAAAATGTCATTATAGTTAGAATTTCAATGCACTTTTCATATATTTTCACAAATTTTTACATATTTTTATACACTTTTTCAATACACTTTTTACACCTATATCAAAGCTAATGACCACCCAATGAGCGGTCATTAGCATTTTCCTTATATATATATATATATATTGTCCGCTCTCACTCTCGCTCTAGATACATAGGTCATGTCTGAGAACTAATGTCTATTAATTGCATTAGCACATATGCCGGCATATACTTCCGAGTCAAATTAATTGTCATTAATAAAAAACTATCCACCAAGACAATACGGACAGAAAAGGCGGGCATCATTACAAGGGTATATCATCAATAGAACATGGCATACCACCTCATGAGAAATTATACCAAGGTTGATATATCTTCTAGGAACTTTGACAGTACGACAGAAAACCAATAATGAGAAATGTAAATCCAAGTCTTTATGCTTATTACACATACCTTCTCCTTTGCCCAGCCAAAAGCAAAGTCATAGATCTCACGGAACTTTTCTAGACAACCATATTGAAGATTAGTTCAGTAACAAAATAGTGGAAATTCTAAAGTTCATAAAATCAATCTCCTCATAGAGGGCTCAAGTTCAACATCAAGACAGCATTTGAACTGACTTTGTGATGAGCAACATGACATATGAAAAAATAGAAAAATCATGAGTTATAACTTATAACTACTAGCAAGTAGCAACTAATGAAGGAAAAACAATGTCACATTTACATCCGCTCATCTTTCAGCTCAGAATGCATAAATTGTATCCTGTCACAGAACTTCTCCAGTGAATCTATCCTGATATCAAAAAATAAAAACTTTGTGAAGTTGACATCATAATGGTTCAAGGCTGGTTTTGTTGATTAAGAATAAGCAGCGAATACAACTCAACAAAAAGTTACCCAAGAGCTTGTAAACCACCAATGAACTCCTGCTTGGAAAATTCACACATGGTGGCAGCCTTCATGTGCCAAGAAAGAACTAACTACAGCAAGGCAAAAGGTCCATGTTAGCTAGACGTTTACATGTTATTAGTTCATTTACTAGATAACTAATAATTCTATCAAGAGAAACCAAAAGAATCTTGATATATAATGTAAACACAGATCCGATTTCATTAATATATATGTCGATATTGGAACAATGCTTGAAAGCTTTTGAAATATATTTAGTCAATAATTCAGCAATGTAAACCAATAAAGTAATAACCTGCTTGAGTATATTCATCAATAAGAGAATGAGGAACTGAAACAGAAGTTTAAGATCTAGTAAAGTGAAAGAGAAGGAAACTACAGTATGCACCTTGTAGCAATTGATGGACAAAAAAATAGGAAATAGTGAGAAAAGAGCTCTATAGATCATCAAAAGTCACTAAGCATGCACTTCTGATCTTGTAGACATTATCATAATGCTGGAGCATAGAGACATCGTCATTCACTCTTATATGGCAAGCGATGAGAGGCAGCAATAAGATCTAGCCAGTATCAACCACGACAAGGTTGAATTGCAACACTGCATGTTACACCTGCATCCTATTTCACTAGGAAAGAAAGCTCCTCAATCAAAGTGATTTCATTCCATTCAGTTAAAGACAACGTGCAACAAACACCCTTTCCATCCATCGCAAGTATTCCAAACCAAACCAAACCAAACCAATTCAGCATATTTATGGCAAAAGAAAAAAGTAACTTAAAATATATAGCAAATTTAGCACAAAGTCTTGCTTACCTATGTGATCCAATTGGAATGTTTGAGATAGAAAACTTATCTATGCTGTTATAAGTTAAATTAGAATGCTCCAAAGATCCATTGGTATAATTAACTAGCACCAAGACTGTGAAAGCAAGGAATGCAATAGGAATAAAAAATTTAAGATATTTATATCCCGTGTACAACAGGCTTGAAGCAAAAAAGAGGTTGGAATGGCATATTTTCAAGGTTAGCATATTCCTTTACTTACAATATTGCAAACAACAACCCATAAACAACTTCAATTTGAAACAAAAAAGAGGCTGGAATGGCAGAGTGAACCTCAATTAAATTATGAAACAGGAGACCGGAAAAGTAGGAGCTAAGCAAACACAACCAAAACAGATGTAGCACAAAAGCTGTGCAACTATGGAAAGCCCTTCAGTCAAACATAAACTGAATATAAATCAAGTGAAAGAGGCAGCAGGCTTGAATGAATTGCAATCCACATTGAAATCGTGGGGAATTGTAGTTGGAAAAGTCAATAAATGAATTGCAATCTATTCTAGTCAATAAATGTATTTCTACTGTGAGCAATTTTAGTTGGAAAAGTCAACCACATTCTTTTTCTTTCTTTTATTTTCTTGCCCCTCTCTCTTTTCCAAATACAAAAAAGGGGGCATTGTCCAAAGCCCATCTCAGTTGCAGGTCTGTAAATAACCAATATGACACTATAATATTTAAACTTAGTTCATCTAGATTACAATATGGAACAACTGTGGAGTTATTGGTAGGACGGTATATAAATGCATATATGCACATATATATATAGAGTATACATGTCAAGAGACAATTTTTTTGGGGACTACCCATCCCCGACCCATTCCCTGATGGAGAATTACATTAGATCACCTACTGACCTGATGCATAGAGAAATTGGGAAAACCCACATATTTTGGGTAGGGTCTCCACGGATAACCATTGGGTATGGTTTTTATTGCCATCCCTTGCGCATTGCATTCAAGTTGTCTATACTCCATCGGCATAAAGCATCCTAAAACAAGAGAACTACAAAGATCTACTTTCAAAATAAAAAGAGATCTAACCAACATTATTGTTGAAATCTTTCTACAAATCATCAATAAAACCATGCATTTCAATACACCCTTCTGATAAAGACAATAAATCTCCTCAGTTGACATTACAAAATTTTAGCAATCATGATAAATTATCACATACCCACATCACAACAGTACCCAAAAAAGACAAATATTCAATACCCACGAAGCAATTTCACAAACTACTAATAAATTACAAACACCAAATAGTGGATAATATCAGATATTGCATATAAAATGTGAAAACCAAAGAATAACTCAACAAAAGAACAAATTGAGATATTAATGACCCAAAATCAACAATAACAATATGATCAAATCAAGGTCTAATGTGTTCTTATGAAATACATGAATCAACCATAAAGTGGAATTGGCTGAAGAGAGTAAGAAGATAGATTTGAATATAGGTTTAGAGCTTCGCCTACTCTTCTTCTTTTTTGGTCTCAAATATGAGTGGAACTTCAAGGTGAATCATACTCACTGAAGAAAGTTAATTACAAGAAATATCCCTAAAAAATAGTTCAGGTGCATCTCTTTATCAATATTAATTCAGAGGGATTAGGTCTCTCCCCTAAAATTCTGCTGTAACATTATCAAAAACAAAAACAAAAAAATTTAATAATAATAATTATTATATTGTATTCTGATTCTGCTATATCAAGCCTTATTCAGCTGTGACCTCTCACCCAACTATCTTTGACATCTCATGATCAGGATGTAATTGTAATTTATCAAAAAATGCAGTACAAACAATAGCTACCTTAGATTTCTTTTCCCTTTTTTTGCAATGTATCCAGGCTTATTCAGCTGTGACCTCTCACCCAACTACCTTTGACATCTCATGATCAGCATGTAATTGTAATGTATCAAAAAGTGCAGTGCAAACAATATTTATCTTAGATTTCTTTTCCCCTTTTTTGCAATTCTAGCCAAACAAATTAGCAAGTTACAAAAATATTACATCATATTCACCTGGGAAGCATATAAAACTTTCCAAAAACCAAAATTTAAAAACCTCTACATTAGAAAAAAGATCAGGTACTAAAACAAATTTGAATTAAAAATGTAATACCATTTTCCTCCAAAAGTAAACCAGTACCATCAGCAAAGTAACCACATATAGTTTGAGGCAAAGCACATGTCTACCCTAGGAAAACCATCAAGTTAAGGAATCATACACTGAGTACACACTGCTATTACAGCTTACTCAAGAAAATTGTGAGCAGAGATGTATTAGATGATTTCAGTGCAACTAGACAAATCAACGAATAAATGGGAATAAGTGATCATACCAGTTGCAATTCTTCTGCATCAACCAAAACAATTTGTGACAGCTCTTGAAGTAGCTCCATATCTAAGAAAACACTTGTGTTGTCAATTATAGGAATAGTGCCCTGCCAACTATCAAAGCTAGACGTTCTACATAATACATCAGTAGAGAAAATGCAGCAAGCAGCTGAATTTGTGAGTGGAAATGAATGCTTAGTGGTCTGTATAACAGCTTGCAACTTTTGCTTTTCATGTTCAAACCTTCTCAAAAGCATCTAGAAAAGCTCATTTGAGTTCAACTAGAAAGGTAAACAAGCCACCCTCAAACATATTTTGAAACTAGTTAAGTTTCCAAATCAAATTTGAATAACTTACAATTCAACTAACATACAATCTTATATCAATGTCATAAGGATTACTCTATATTTTCTCATGATATCTTTATTGAGGACCTATCAATTTCTTCACCTAAAGGTGTTTTGGAAATTAATAAAGACCTAAAAAAATTTCAAAAAAGTGTACAAAATGTTGGAAATTAATAAAGACCTAAAAAAATTTTTAAAAAATTTCTCGTTTTGTAAATTTTTCAAAATTGTGTCAAACTAAAAACAATATGAAAATGATAGATGTTTTCTAACTCTACTTCTAACATTTTTTTTTTCTCCAAAAACTTAAAAAATGCAAATGACCAAACAATTCAATAGAAAAATGAGGTCAAGTAGCAAACATACCAAAAAGAGTGGTGGAATAGCAAAATAAGGTCAAGTAGCAAACATACCAAAAAGAGTGGTGGATTCAAAACATATTTTTCAGTTTAAACAATGCATCTTCTTAGACAAAATCATCTATACTATTATAAAGTGAAGGCTGGAGTTTGTATGGCCATGGCGAACAACCCTTGGAGTCCTCTTGTTGCCGCGTCTGCGACATTACCGATGCTCGCAGAAAATAACCACCACCACTAATAAGCTGCCATGGCTATGGCGGTGGGAGCAACATAGAGATATAGAGGAACCATTTCAACCCAGTCGATAGAGGAACCGACTGGAATGAGAGAGTCGAAAGAAGAGTCAAAAGAAGCATACCGTCTCGCCGCTGCTAAACCAGTCTCGCCGTCGATTGAAACCCTTCCTCTTCAACCCCAGTCTGTCTTCAAACCCTCTATCTTCTCTCACTCAGATTAAGGTTTGCTCACTATTTTGAAACAGTGTTGTGAAATTAGGGGCTCTACAAACCTGAAAGGAAATGAAAAAAAGGGCGAAAAGGCAGAGGGAAAAAAAAGGGGAAAAGTTTGGGCGGGCTGTCCAGTGAGTCAGTGAAAAAAGAGAGAAATTTGTTTTATTTTTATTTTAATGAATTTTTTTTTAATTTGGTAGAAGTAGAGGTAATATTTTAATAAAAAAATATGGTTTGTTAAAATAAAATTAATTTTTTATGGTCAATAAAAAATATTTTTTTGTGACCCATTTTTTTTGTTGTTAAAAATCAAGAGCTAATTTTTTGTGGTAGAGAAGAGGGAGCGGCAATAATAGTGAAGGTGGTGGATAAGAGGTGATGGTGGTGGTAGTGGTGGTTGTGATGGCAAAAGAGATTAGTGGTGAAGTTGTGGTAGAGGAGATGGAGTGAGGGTGTTGGAAAAGAGGTAATAGAGACAGAGAAAGAAAGAGATATAGAGAGACAGAAAGAGACAGACAGATAGACAGAAAAAGAGAGAGAAATAAGAGATGAGTGAAAGATAAACAAAGAGAGATAAAGGGAGTGAAAAGAGATGATCGAGAGAAAGACATAGAAAAAGAGAGAGAAGAAAGATGAGCGAGAGAGATAGAGAGAAGAAAGATGAGGAAGAGAGATAGAGATAAAGAGAGAAAATATATGAGAGAAGAGATAGATGAGTGAGAGACACAGAGAGAAAGGGGGGAGAGAGACAGATAGAGAGAGGAGAATGATGAGTAATAGAGAGAAAGAGAAGAGAGAGAGGAAGATGAAAAAATTGGTGAAAAGAGATAGACAAAGAAAAATAGAGACAAAGAGCGAAAAGATATAAACGAGAGAAAGACAGAGAGAGATGGAGAGAAGAGAGATGGACGAGAGACACAGAGAGAAAGAAAGAGACAGAGAGATAGACAGAGAAGAGTGATGAGTGAGAGAGAGAAAGAGAAGAGAGACAGAGACATAGAGAGAAAGAGACAGACAGACAGACAGAGAAGAGTGATGAGTGAGAGAGAAAAATAGAAGAGAGGTAGAGACAAAGAGACAGGATTGGGGGTTTTTGGTAACCCGAACGGGAATGGAAAAAAAATGGCGGGCCGAGTGGGGGAGATTGGGGGTTACTAAAAATCAGGAACTAATTTTTTGTGGTAGAGGATA